TTTGCATACTGTCTCAATTGTTGAACTTTGCTTTAAATCTTTTACCTCTACTATGTCTACTTTGGTCTTGTCACTAGGTATGTGGGGGGATAGTATGAGGAGGATGGGACAGAGGTGGTGAAGGAGCAAGAAAACATATTTCAAAGAAGCTCCTAGGGTCCTTTCCTGAGGTGTTGGCCCCTATACCATAAATACGACCTAAAGAAGGAGAGGGATTTTGAAACGTTTCAATAGTGTTAGTAAGCTGTACAGGAAGGACTACATTGGTTGTATCCACAATTGGGAAAAGCAACCCCTTTGGTGAAATGAATAAATGGTCTTAAGGACTGGCAAAGACTTGTGGGAACAGTCCAACCAAGACCTTTAGTGCTCCGTAGGACACTGGACCAAGTATAACAGAGGGAATCTGTTCGGGAAGGACAAGAATCCCATTCCCACCAGCTAACACAACTGCTACTCTCGGGATTATGGCCTGTGCAAGAATCCAATATATGCTTCCAATCTCAGGAGGTCCGGGAAGGGCAGCAATATTTCTCAGAAGCAGTAGGCTGTCTTTGGTTCTGTAAATTACTGCAGGGCATGACTAAACCAGCATCAAAAGTAGTAATGCAGGGTGAGCTTGATCTGGTTACATTAATGAAATAGCTAAGCACTGGATAGGAAAAAGTAAGAGAACAGTAAATACAGGAAGGTTAGATTTTTCTTAGCTTCATTTTGGAAGAATTGTTTCCTGAAACGGTAGCCCATGATTCTGGAACCAATGATGCTTTCTTCACTTGGGTATGGACTAGAGTCTCAGTGGTTAGAGCCACAAGGTAGGATCCCTCCCAAGCTGGCTCAGGCTTCTGTTCTTTCCACCTCGATGAAAATGTGGTCTCAGCCAGGTGCGGTGGCTCACACCTGTAATCCCAGCAGGTTGGGAGGTTGAGGCAGGTGGATCACGAGGTGAGGAGTTTGAGACCATCCTGGCTAACACAGTGAAACCTAGTTGCTACTAAAAATTAAAAAATTGAGCCTGGCATTGTGGCATGCACCAGTAGTCCCAGCTACTCAGGAGGCTGAGGCAGGAGAATCACTTGAACCGAAGAGGCGGAGGTTGCGGTGAGCGGAGATCGCGCCAGTGCACTCTAGCCTGAGTAACAGAGTGAGACTCTGTCTCAGGAGAAAAAAGGAAAAAGAAAAAGTAAACGTGGTCTCCAGGTTGCTGCTGGTGTACTGTGAATTCCAGGGGTGGTGCCTGTGCTAGAAGACCTCTGGTTTTAGAAGATAGAGGAGAGACCAAATATGTAATTTATGAGCAACTGATCTTTTCTTTTTCAAATGTAGGAAGGACAGTGGTGGAATGTAAGAAGGGCAGCCTGTACATCACATAAGGGGATAGACCAATGCCTTTCCAAGGGGCAGTTCTGATTTCTTGATAGTGTAATGGGAAGGCATTTAGTTTAGGGTAACCAGATTTCTAGAACTAATTTAGTTAGGTGGCTTCTGAGAGTTTGGTTCATCCTACTTTTCCCGAGGAAGATGGACGTCAAAGAATATGATATTCCCATTTTATGTCTAATACTTGAGCCAACTTTTTAATGACAAGTGCGGTAAAATTGGTTCCATTGTCTGAATCAATATTTTCTATTAGCACAAACTTAGGTACGGTATGTTCAAATAATGACTTAACCACATTGCTAGCAGTTGGACTCGAGAAATGGATAGCCTCTACCCAATGAGTAAAATGGTCTATTAATATTTTAGTCAACTGATTTGGGGCATTTCAGTGCAATCAATTTGAATACTTTGAAATGGTCTTAATCCTAGATTTCTTCCCCTAGGCGTAATTGCCTCAAGGTCTATTTATTCATCTTTGTACATATTAAACAACTATCTGTGACTTGTCTTGTTAATGGATAAATTCCAATGCAGGCATGAGACAACTGTGTTACACGAGGCCCCCAATGAGTTCCTTGATGTCACTGAGAGGACTCCTCTTGTAAGAGGTTTAGACATTTCTTTCTGATCTGGCAATACCCACCTACCCTCCAAATTTTCTTTAGCCCCTATTTTTATCAATTTTTCTTTTTTGATGGGGGAGAAAATAGGACCTTACTGCAGGAGAAGGAAGGTCAGAGGTTAAACAAAAGATAGGCATTTCAGGAGACATGGCACCTTGTTAGACTCCCTGATCTGCAAGGTTATTTCCTCACCCCTCAAAGGAGAAGTCTTTTGAATGTCCTGATACATGTACAATTGCTATTTCCTCTGGAAGCAGGAGATTGTTTAAAACAGGGACAATTGGCCGGGCTTGGTGGCTCACGCCTATAATCTAGGTCAAGGCGAGTGGATCACCTGAGGTTGGGAGTCCAAGAACAGCTTGATCAACATGGTGAAACTCCGTCTTTAAAAAAAAAAAAAAAAAAAAAAATTAGGCCGGGCGCGGTGGCTCAAGCCTGTAATCCCAGCACTTTGGGAGGCTGAGGCGGGCGGATCACGAGGTCGAGAGATCGAGACCATCCTGGTCAACATGGTGAAACCCCATCTCTACTAAAAATACAAAAAAATAGCTGGGCATGGTGGTGCGTGCCTGTAATCCCAGCTACTCAGGAGGCTGAGGCAGGAGAATTGCCTGAACCCAGGAGGAGGAGGTTGCAGTGAGCCGAGATCGCGCCATTGCACTCCAGCCTGGGTGACATGAGCGAAACTCCGTCTCAAAAAAAAAAAAAAAAAAAACCTGCTGGGTTGAGGGAGTGACTCCAATGTCACTTAATGCTTGATGGGTTTGATATACTCACTGCATTTGAAACAATTATCTGAAGAATGAATTTTCTGATGTTCTTCAAGGAGTGACCCTGGAATGAAGACCTTGCCACTCACTCTTATGACATTTCTAAGATTTCTGTCCTGTATGGATTCTCTGACGTCTAATGACTTGTGAACGTGAAGTCCAGGCTTTGCCACAATCATCACACTAGTGAGGTTTCCCTCCCGCACAAATTCTCCTGTTTTGTATAAGATGAAGGCTGACTGAAGACTTTGCCACAACCATGACATTTGTAAGATTTCTTTCCAGTATGAGTTTGCCATGGAATTTCAAGGTTTAAACGATGTCTGAAAAGTTTGCCACATTTATTACACTTGTAGCATCTCTCATTATGGATCTCCAATGATTTGCAATGGTTGTAGGGTTACTGAAGCCTGTATGACAATCATTACATCCATAAAGCTTCCCCATGCCATGCATTGCTGGATGGTGAATAAGTGTTAACTGTGTACTAAAGGTTTGTCACACTCCTCTCACCTGTAAGATTTCTCTCCAGTGTCAATTCTAGCATGTTGTTCCAAGTGTGAATCACGAGAGCCTCCTCACAAACCTTACATTTGTATGGTTTCTCTCCAGCATGAATTCTCTAACGTCATTCAAGGTGTGACTTGGGATGGAAGACTTTGTCATATTCTTAGCATTAATAAATTTCTCTCCAGTATGAAGTCTATGATGACATGCAAGTTTTGATTTTTGATTAAAATCTTGCTACAGTCATTACACTTACATGTTTCTCTCTAGTAAGAAATCAGTAACATGGAAGGTTTGCTTTTCTATTAAAAACACTGCCACATTCAATACACTTCTAAGGTCTCCCTCCAGTATGAAGTATATGATGACATGAAAGGTTTGATTTTTGATTAAAAAAAAAAACCAAACATCGATTACACTTCTAAGGTTTCTCTCCAGTATGAAGCCTACGATGGAATACAAGCAATGACATCCGACTGAAGGTCTTGCCACGCTCATTATATTTGTGAGGTTTCTCTCCAGTGTGACCTCTAGTATGTTGTGTCAGGTACGAACTACACCTGAAAGCCTTATCACAAACCTTACATTTGTATGGTTTCTCTCCAGTATGAATTCTTCCATGAATTCTAAGGTCGTTTTTCCACCTGAAAATTCTGTCACATTCTTCACATTTGTAAGGTTTCTCTCCAGTGTGAACTCTACGATGACATGTAAGGGTTGATTTTTGACGAAAAAACTTGCCACATTCATTACACTTGTAAGGTTTCTCTCCAGTGTGAATTCTAGTATGTTGTATCAGTTGTGAAGGAAACCTGCAAGCCTTGCCACAAACCTTACATTTGTATCGTTTCTCTCCATGAATTTTCCTATGTCTTTTTAGTTCTAAGTTCCGACTAAAATATTTGTCACATTTTTCACATCTGTAAGGTTTCTCTCCAGTATGAAGCCTACGATGGCATGCAAGGACTGATAGGTGTTTAAAAACCTTTCCACATTCATGACACTTGTAAGATTTCGTTCCGGTATGTATTGCCTTATGAATTTCAAGGGCTGAATTTTGACCAAAGGTCCTGCCACACTCATTGCACTTGGAAGGTTTCTCTACAGTATGAAGTCTACAATGGCGTGCAAGGATTGACTGCCGACTGAAGTTCATGCCACACTCATTACACTTGTAAGGTTTCTCACCAGTGTGACATCTGTGATGGCGTTTAAGGTTTCGCTTCTGATTAAAGACTTTTCCACATACATCACATATATATTGTTTCTCTCCTAAATGGATTATCTGATGTTTCCTTAAGAGTGAGCTAGAATTACATGCTTTGCCACTCTCACTATGTTGGAAAAATTTTTCTGTCATGCGTGCGTCCTGTTGATGTGTAAGTAATGAAGAATGGAGGAAATTATTTTCATGGTTATTAGAAATATGGGTTTCGGGCCTACAAGAAATCCTTTGGGATGCTGAAACCGAGGAAACATCACTGACAGATTTCTCAACTTGATTACCAATTTTCCCTTCAGTCTGAAATATGTGCAGTTGAGGCAGATGTGAATGAAAGCTTACTCCAAGCTCATCTTTAATAGGCTTGTTTCCAGCATGCCTTTGATCGTATCGCTCTGTACTACTAGTCAACTTTCTTGTTTTTGTCATAGGAGTTTCACGGTTATTTCTTTCCTTTACTTCCCACTGAAACTCAAAGTCACGAGTATCTTTCTCAATTTCCTGCAAGCAAAAGTCTCCAATGTGATGACTTTCATGTGTTTCCAATCTCCCCGTGTGGAACATTTCTGTATCGCCCTTTGCTGTTAATGAGAACTTCTTCATCATGCATTTGGAAGAGATATCTACAAAATATAAACACCAATAGGTTTCCAATTGAGTACAGATGGTAAATAATACTGAAATGTGTAAATATGACACAGATAAGTTTCCCAAACATGATCTTCAAAGTTTTGGAACACAAAAGGAGTGAGATTCTTTACTAAATAAAGGTCGATTATATGTGCTTCAAGTCATTTCCACAGAAGCCTATTTCCGACATCAGGACCACACAGTGACAGGGCACAAACATCTGTAAGCCTCAAGTAAGAAGTATTTTTCTACTGTAACCCTAATGTGTATAACAGTTAGCAAAAAACATATCACTGTCACCTCAATAAATTAAAAAATTTATATTCTTCATATTTATAGTGTATTTACTGTATACAAATAAATGCTCAAGAACCATCTAGTGGCCGGGTGCGGTGGCTCAAGCCTATAATCCCAGCACTTTGGGAGGCCGAGGTGGGTGGATCACGAGGTCAAGAGATAGAGACCGTCCTGGTCAACATGGTGAAGCCCTGTCTCTACTAAAAATATAAAACCTTATTGAGGCAGGAGAATTGCCTGAACCAAGGAGGCAGAGGTTGCGGTGAGCCGAGATGGCGCTATTGCACTCCAGCCTGGGTAACAAAAGTGAAACTCAGTCTCCAAAAAAAAAAAAAAAAAAAAAAGAACCATATAGTATACTGTATTGATAAATAATCCACTGCAAGCTCATGTAAGCATAACCAAAATCAATGGAAATTTTGTATTATGAAACAAGCATAGCCCTAAGAAGTGATTAAATGATTACAAAAATTGGCCAGACCTGGTGGCCCACGCCTGTAGTCACAGCTACTCAAGAGGGTGACGCACAAGAATCACTTGAACCTGGAAGGCAGAGGTTTCAGTGAACCGAGACTACACCACTGTACTTCATCCTGTGACAAAGTGAGACTCCATCTCTATTATTTATTTATTTATTTATTTATTATGAGGAGTCTCACTCTGTTGCCCAGGCTGGAGTGCAATGGCGCGATCTCGGCTCACTGCAACCTCCGCCTCCCGGTTTCAAGCGATTCTCCTGCCTCAGCCTCCCAAACAGCTGGGATTACAGGCACCCGCCACCATGCCTGGCTAATTTTTGTATTTTTAGTACAGACAAAGTTTCAATATCTTGGCCAGGCTGATCTCGAACTCCTGACCTCGTGATCCCCCCGCCTCAGCCTCCCAAAGTGCTGGAATTATAGGCATGAGACACCACACCCAGCCGAGACTTCATCTCAAAAAAAATAAATAAATAAAATAAAATATTAATACAGTATTTTTCTAAATAAATGTCATAAAATTACATATATTGGGAGAACAGGTATTTTGTGACTTTTTCAAAACAATTATATATATATATGTATTTTTTTTTTTTTTTTTTGAGACGGAGTTTCGCTCTTGTTACCCAGGCTGGAGTGCAATGGCGCGATCTCGGCTCACCGCAACCTCCGCCTCCTGGGTTCAGGCAATTCTCCTGCCTCAGCCTCCTGAGTAGCTGGGATTACAGGCACGAGCCACCATGCCCAGCTAATTTTTTGTATTTTTAGTAGAGACGGGGTTTCACCATGTTGACCAGGATGGTCTCGATCTCTTGACCTCGTGATCCACCCACCTCAGCCTCCCAAAGTGCTGGGATTACAGGCTTGAGCCACCGCACCCGGCCCACAATTTTATATTTTTAATTTTTTGAGGCAGTCTCACTCTGTCCCCCAGGCTGGAGTGCAACGATGACACCTCTACTTACTGCAACCTCCACCTCCTGGGTTCAAAGGATTCTTCTGCCTCAGCCTCCTGAATAGCTGGAATTACAGGCATGCATCACCAAACCCAGCTGATATTTGTATTATTAGAGGTAAGGTTTCACAATGTTGGCCAGGCTGGTCTCAAACTCCTCACCTCAGGTGATCCAACTGCCTCAGCCTCCCAAAGTCTTGGGATTACAGTCATAAGCCCTTGTGCCCAGAGGCACTTTGCGATATTACCAAGTGGAGTGTGTCAGTTATATTGCAGACCACATACCAAGAAGCCAGATGTAAAATCATAAAAATTAGTTGGTCGGGTGTGGTGGCTCACGGCTGTTATTCCAGCACTTTGGGAGGCCAAGGCAAATGGATCATGATGTCAGGAGTTCAAGACCAGCCTGGCCAACTAACCAAAACCCCGTCTCTATTAAAAATACAAAATTTAGCTGGGTGTGGTGGCACGCACCTTTAACCCCAGCTACTCAGGAGTCTGAGGCGGGAGAACTGCTTGAACCCAGGAGGCAAAAGTGGCAGTGAGCTGAGACCACGCCATTGCAATCCAGCTTGAGTGACACAGTGATACTCCATCTCAAAAAAAAAAAACCAAAAACTGATTTTGGGCCAGGTGCGGTGGCTCACGCCTGTAATCCCAGCATTTTGGGAGGCTGAGGTGGGTGGATCACAAGATCAGAGTTCAAGACCAGTCTCGCCAAGATGGTAAAACCCGGTCTCTACTAACAATACAAAAAGTAGCCAGTGTGGTAGGGGATGCCTATAATCCCAGTGCCTCGGGAGGCTGAGACAGAGAACTGCTTAAACCCAGGAGAAACAGGCTGCAGTGAGCTGAGATCGTGCCACTGCACTCCATCCTGGGTGACAGAGCAAGACTCTGTCTCAAAAAAAAAAAAAAAAAAATTAATTAATATTGTAACCAATGACAAAACCAGCAAGCAAACAGTAGTACATTTATACAGTCTACAGAATTCTAAACAAGTCCCTCTTAAGAAAAAAGCCACAACTTCTACTTAGCACCAGCACACCATATAAAAAGTGAAATAAACGGTAAGATCACTACCTTCTGAATGAACCCCAGCACACCATTGAAGAGACACACTATAAACAATCGAAAATCAAAAACTCAATATTATTTTGAAATAAAAACACTCAATACACACAGAATACAAAAATCTTACCTCAACATAATAAAGACCATTTAGGAGAAGCCCACAGTTACCATCACAGTGGATGGTCAAAGCCTGAAATCTCTTCCTCTAAGATCAGAAAAGAGACTAAGAAGGCTGCTTTTGCTATTTCTATTCATTCAGCATGTTACTGGAATCCTGACTGAATAAATTAGACACAAGAAAAAGAAAGAAATGCCAAGCAGTGGGGAAAAAAAGTAAAATGCTCTGTGTTCACAGAAGACATCATCTGATATGCGGAAATCACTAAAGATTCCATGGAAGACTGGGCACGGTGGCTCATGCCTGTAATCCCAGCATTGTGGGAGGCTGAAGTGGGCAAATCACAACGTTAGCAGTTCGAAGCCAGCCTAATATGGTAAAATCCTGTCTCTACTAAAACTACAAAAATTAAAGGAACATAATCCCAGCTACTCAGAAGGCTGAGACAGGAGAATCACTTGAACCTGAGAGGCGGAGTTTGCAGTGACTCAAGGTCGCACCACTGGACTCCAGCCTGGGCGACAGAGCTACACTCCGTTTCAAAAAAAAAAAAAAGAAAGAAAGATTCCATGAGAAAACTGTGGAAATTATGTATTTCATCAGGGATTAATATTTAGAAAATACAAGGAATTTTTACAAGTTGGCAACAAAAATCAAAAAACACAATTAGAAAATGAGTCGCCGGGCGCGGTGGCTCAAGCCTGTAATCCCAGCACTTTGGGAGGCCGAGGCGGGTGGATCACGAGGTCGAGAGATCGAGACCAACCTGGTCAACATGGTGAAACCCCGTCTCTACTAAAAATACAAAAAATTAGCTGGGCATGGTGGTGCGTGCCTATAATCCCAGCTACTCAGGAGGCTGAGGCAGGAGAATTGCCTGAACCCAGGAGGCAGAGGTTGCGGTGAGCCGAGATCGCGCCATTGCACTCCAGCCTGGGTAACAAGAGCGAAACTCCGTCTCAAAAAAAGAAAAAAAAAAAAGAAAATGAGTCTAGGAACTGAATACACATTTCTCCAGAAACGACAGACAAATCACCAATAAGCATAGAATAGCACCAAAAAATAAAGATAAAAAACATAGCATGTAGGAAAAAACAATAACTACTAATGAAACATCATCTCAAGTGCATTAAAAGATTTAGCATCCATAAGAATAGACAATAAGTGTTGGCAAAAATACAGACATGGCCAGGAGCAGAGACTCACTTTGGGAGGCTGAGACAGGTGGATCATCTCAGGTCAGGAGTTCGAAACCAGCCTGACCAACATGGAGAAGCCCCATCTCTACTAAAAGTACAAAATTAGCCAGACATGGTGGCGCAAGCCTGTAATCCCAGCTACACAGGAGGCCGAGGCAGGAGAATCACTTGAACACAAGAGGCGGAGGTTGCGGTGAGCAGAGATCACACCATTGAACCCCAGCCTGGGCATCAAGAGTGAAAATCTGTTTCAAAAAAATAATCAATTTTTTTTTTAAGCGCTAAGGCAGGGGTCCCCAAACTTTTTACACAAGGGGCCAGTTCACTGTCCCTCAGACCGTTGGAGGGCCGGACTACGCAAGGTGTGACACCCTTCACAGCCAGCGCTGCTGCCTCCACTATCCCAGAGAGCAGTATACAGTGTCACAGGCCCAGCACCGCCTCCAGTGCTGTATACAGGGACAGCGGTGATCAGCCTGTGACACTGTGTATACAACGTCCTGGACATCTGCAGCAGCGGTGGGCCTCTTCTGTGGGAAGCCCACTCCTGCATGTTTCCCCTATTATAAGACACCTCCTAAAAATAAGACAGCCCCCGTCTTTTGGGGGTAAAATTAAAATGAGACAGGGTCTTATAATAGGGGAAACATGGCGTGTAGTAATGTGGGGGGAGACTTTTGGGCAAATGGAGGTTATAGGGGCCATTATGTTGTTGTACATTTGGGGGAGTATGGGGGCCACTGTACTGTGTAGTAATGGTTATAGTGCTTTGCCTTTCTTCCTACTTCTGCTGTTATTTCACACTGCTTCCGGTCATGTGGGGCGCTGCAGCCGCAGACCGGATGTGCGTCATATGACGCGCTTCGGGAACCCTGACGCATACGTCCTGCATCACCGGAAGCAGCACTGTACGTGAGCAACTCTGCATCCGCATCCTGTGCTCCGCTCACTGACCACCAATGAAAGAGGTGCCCCTTGCTGAAGTGCAGTGGGGACCAGATAAATGGCCTCAGGGGGCCGCATGCGGCCCGCAGGCCGTAGTTTAGGGATCCCTGCGCTAAGGTGAAAAAGCCTTTTGCACTGTTGCTGTGAATGTATAATGGGATAGCACCTTTTAAAAAATCATGTAACAGTTCCTCAAATAATTCGTAATTGAATAACCCCATGACCCAAAAAATGGAAAATAGGATCTTTAAGAATATCTCTAGTGACAGATACAGATAACAGATTTTTTTGTTTTGTTTTTGAGACAGAGTCTAGAAACAAAAACAGTCTACTCCACCTAGACGGGAGTACAACGGCCTGATCTCAGCTCACCATAACCACACCTTCTGGTTCAAGCGATTCTCCTACCTCAGCCTCCTGAGTAGCTGGGATTAAAAGTGTGCACCGGCCGGGCGCGGTGGCTCAAGTCATTAATCCCAGCACTTTGGGAGGCCGAGGAGGGTGGATCATGAGGTCGAGAGATCAAGACCATCCTGGTCAACATGGTGAAACCCCATCTCTACTAAAAATACAAAAAATTAGCTGGGCATGGTGGTGCGTGCCTGTAATCCCAGCTAATCGGGAGGCTGAGGCAGGAGAATTGCCTCAACTCAGGAGGCGGAGGTTGCGGTGAGCCGAGATCACGCCATTGCACTCCAGCCTGGGTAACAAGAGCGAAACTCCGTCTCAAAAAAAAAAAAAAAAAACGTTAGCTGGGCATGGTGGCACGTGCCTGTAATCCCAGCTACTCAGGAGGCTGAGGCAGGAGAATTGCCTGAACCCAGGAGGCGGAGGTTGCGGTGAGCCAAGATCGCGCCATTGCACTCCAGCCTGGGTAACAAGAGCGAAACTCCGTCTCAAAAAAAAAAAAAAAAAAAAAAAGTGTCCATCACCATGCCCAGCTAAGTTTTTTTTTTCTTTTGTATTTTTAGTAAAGATGGGGTTTCACCACGTCGGCCAGGCTGCTCTCCAACTCCTGACCTCAGCTGATCTGCCCCTTGGAACTTCCAAAGTGCTGGTATTACAGGCTTGAGCCACCACGCCTGGCCTCACAGTATTATTTGTAACAGTAAAGAGAAGGAACCAACCCAGATGTCCATCGAAAGATAACCATATGAACAAACGGTGGAATACACACACAATGGAATACTATTCAGCTTGAAAAACAAACTGGCACAGTGCCAAGGGCAGCGGCTCACGCCCATAATCCCAGCACTGCGGGACTCCGAGGCAGGTAAATCACATCAGGCCAGGAATTCAAAGTCATCCTGGCCAATAGAGCGAAAGAGCCATCTGCAAGAGAACTAGCAAAAATGAATCAGGCAAGGTGACACACGTCTGTAATCCCAGCTACTCAGAAAGCTGAGGTAGCAGGATCACTTGATCCCAGAAGGCAGGTGGCAGTCAGCCAATATCACACTACTACACTATACCCTGGGTGACAGGGTAAGAGTCAGTCTCAAAAAAAGAAAAGTAAAGTGGCCGGGCGCGGTGGCTCAAGCCTGTAATCCCAGCACTTTGAGAGGCCGAGGCGGGTGGATCACGAGGTCAAGAGATCGAGACCATCCTGGTCAACATGGTGAAAACCCGTCTCTACTAAAAATACAAAAAATTAGCTGGGCATGGTGGCACGTGCCTGTAATCCCAGCTACTCAGGAGGCTGAGGCAGGAGAATTGCCTGAACCAAGGAGGCGGAGGTTGCGGTGAGCCTGAGATGGCGCCATTGCACTCCAGCCTGGGTGGGTAACAAGAGCGAAACTCCGTCTCAAAAAAAAAAAAAAAAAAAAAAAAAAAGAAAAGTAAAGTAAATGAAAAGCCATTCCCTGACACAACAATACTCACAATGATGAAGACTATCACTGAAAATAAGGAACTGAGGATTAAATAAAATAAAAATGCATTTATAATGCATAGAAACTGGCCAGGCACAATGGCTCATGCCTGCAGTCCCAGTACTTCGAGAGGCTGAGGCAGGCAGATCACCTGAGGTCAGAACTTCCAAGAACAGTCTGGGCCAGGCGCAGTGTAATCCCAGCACTTTGGGAGGCCGAGGCAGGTGGATCACCTGAGGTCAGGAGTTCAAGACCAGCCTGACCAACATGAAGAAACCCTGTCTCTAAAAAAAAAAAAAAAAAAAAAGGCCAACAAGGAGAAACCACGTCTCTACTAAAAATACAAAATTATCGAGGCATGGTGGTGTAGTGGGTATGTGTGATCCCAGCTACTCAGCAGGTTAAGGCAGGGGAATCACTTGAACCTGGAAGGTGGAGGATGCAGTGAGCAAAGATCACATCGCTGCACTCAAGTCTGGGCAATAAAGCAAGACTCCAACTCAAAATAAATAAACAAACAAGTTAAAAGCCACTGTGTCTTAAACAAATGACAGAACTAAAATATGGGGACCTCATTCAACCTCACAAGCTCTCCCTCAATAAGACTGATGAAAACATATCTGTTACAGGGTTGATCCTACCCCAAACTGAGCAGAAGTTTTCTTGTTAAAAATGAACAATGACACATATTGGTGTGAAAAAAGTGAAATGCACAAGAGATCAGTCAAAAGCCTCATACATATGAAGCTGTGAGCCAGAATGATGGCCTCCTTTGGAGGAATTTCAACAACACTGACCACTGCTTAGAGATGATTATTAGTTTATGAGATAAACATTATCACAGTGCTACTGGCAGAGGCTTCTGTGATGCTGCTCAAAACCCAAAATAGGCAGGGCATGGTGGCTCAGGCCTGTAATCCCAGCACTTCAGGAGGGTCAAGTAGGTGGATCACCTGAGGTCAGGAGTATGAGCCCAGCTTGGGCAACAAGGTGTATCTCTACTGAAATACAAAAACTGGCCAGGCGTGGTGGCCCACACTTGTAATGCCAGCTGCAAGGGAGGCTCAAGCAGGAGAATTGCTTGAATCCAGAAGGTTGCAGTGAGCTGAGACTGTGCCATTGTACTCCAGCCTAGGTGACAGACGGAGACTCTTTGTCTCAAAAAGCAAAAGCAAAACCAAAACCAAAACCAAAAAAAAAACCCAAGCACTACGGTGATAACACTTCACAGTCAGTGTCATGCTTTCTATTTCATATCCTGGGCGACGCTGACAATTGTACTCAGGGATTCCAGGGGCTTCTCTGCCTAGAGCAGGATGGTTCAATTATATTAGTGAAAGCGTTCTTCACAAATTTTGTTTCTATGTAAATCCACTTCACAGGAGAGTCCCTAACAAGCTATCCATGACCGATAGGAGGGTCATCACTGCAGCAAATAATGACATGCACATGTAAAGCATATGCAGAAGTCAGGGACGATGGATCACCTGTATTCCCAGCACTTTGGGAGACCAAGGCAGGTGGATCACCTGAGGTCCGGAGTTCGAGACCAGCCTGACCAACATGGAGAAACCTCGTCTCTACTGAAAATACAAAATTAGCTGGGCATGGTGGCGCAGGCTTGTAATCCCAGCTACTTGGGAGGCTGAGGCAGGAGAACAGCTTGAACCCCAGAGGCAAAGGGTGTGGTGAGGCGAGATCCCACCACTGCACTCCACCCTGGACAAGAGTGACTGTCTCAAAAACAAACAAACAAGAAAGCATAATGTATGGGGCAAAATCACAAAAAGAAAGATAAAACCAGGAAGAGCCAAGATAGACAAGGGCAGATTCCTCATGTCTGGAGGGACGTTTTCCTCACCCACAGACTCCAGGTTCCTGTAGTTCTCCAACATCACTTCCCGGTATAAAGCCCTCTGTGCAGGGGTCAGGCATATCCACTCCTCCGATGAGAATTCTATAGCCACATCCTTGAAAGTCAAGTGTCCCTAAAATAAAAAACACATCTCAACAATACATGGAGGTGAGTTACCACCTTCCCATGAAATAAGAAAAGAGAAATTAAGTATCCACCTCACTAAAGACTGTTCCAACAAACACATGTTAAGGTATTTTTTGAACATTTCTTCTCTATTGCTGCATTTTATTGTACTTTCTCATGAAAGATTTTTTTTTTTTTTTTTTTTTTTTTTTGAGACGGAGTTTCGTTCTTGTTACCCAGGCTGGAGTGCAATGGCGCGATCTCGGCTCACCGCAACCTCCGCCTCCTGGGTTCAGGCAATTCTCCTGCCTCAGCCTCCCGAGTAGCTGGGATTAGAGGCACGTGCCACCACGCCCCGCTAATTTTTTTGTATTTCTTTTTTTTTTTTAAGATGGGGTTTCACCATGTTGGTCAGGCTGGTCTTGAACTCCCGACCTCAGGTGATCCGCCAGCCTTGGCCTCCAAAGTGCTTGGATTACAGGCGTGAGCCACCGCGCCCGGCCAATTTTTTTGGATTTTTAGTAAAGACGGGGTTTTACCATGTTGACCAGGATGGTCTCGATCTATTGACCTCGTGATCCACCCACCTCGGCCTCCCAAAGTGCTGGGATTACAGGCTTGAGCCACCGCGCCCGGCTGAAAGATTTTAAGATCCCCAAAGTCACTAGAGAAGTCTTGGGTTTATGGACAATATAAAAAATACACAAATAAAATGGAAACACAAGGCCGGACAGGACGGCTCATGCCTATACTCCCAACACTTTGGGAGGCCAAGGTGGGCAGATTATTTGAAGTCAAGAGTTCGAGACCGGCCTGGTGCGGTGGCTCCTGACTGTAATCCCAGCACTTTGGGAGGCTGAGGCGGGCAGATCACAAGGTCAGCAGACCAAGACCAGCCTTGCCAACATGGCGAAAGCCTGACTGTACTAAAAATACAAAAATTAGTGGGGCATGGTGGCAAGTGCCTGTAATCCCTGCTACTCAGAAGGCTGAGGCAGAAGAATTGTTTGAACCCAGGAGCTGGAGGTTGCAGTGAGCTGACATAGCACCATTTTACTCCAGCCTGGGTGACAGAGCAAGACTGTCTAAAAAAATAAATAAAAGATTAGTTAGCTGCTGCGTGTGCTGACACATGCCTCACCATTCTAGCTCTTTGGGAGGGTAAAGTGTGGATGACGTGAGCCCAGGAGTTCAAGGCTGCTATAAACTAGAATTGTGCCACTGTACTCCAGTCCTGGGCACAGAATGACACATTTTCTCATTTGTCTTTTTTTTTTGAGATGGAGTCCAGCACTGTTGTCCAGCCTGTATTGCAACAGTACGATGTGGACTCCCTGCCACATCTGCCTCCCAGGCTCAAGCGATTCTCCTGCCTCAGCCTCCCGAGTACCTGGGACTGCAGGCAGGTGCCACCATGCCCAGCTAATTTTTTTTATTTTTAGTAGAGACAGGGTTTCACCACGTTAACCAGGATGGTTTCAAACACCTCACGTCGTGATCTACCGGCATCAACCTCCCAAAATGCCGGAATACAGGCGTGAGCCACGATTCTGCTTTTCTTTTTTCTTTTTTTTTTTTTTTCAACAGAGTCTCTGTCTGTCACCCAGGCTGGACTGCAGCACAGTCTCGGCTTGTTGCAACCTCCACCTTCTGGGGTCAAGTGATTCTCCTGCCTCAGCCTCCTGAGTAGCAGAGATTACAGGCATGCACCATCACAACAAGCTAATTTTTTTTTTTTTTTTTTTTGAGACGGAGTTTCGCTCTTGGTACCCAGGCTGGAGTGCCATGGCGCGATCTCGGCTCACTGCAACCTCCGCCTCCTGGGTTCAGGCAATTCTCCTGCCTCAGCCTCCTGAGTAGCTGGGATGACAGGCACGCGCCACCACGCCCAGCTAATTTTTTGTATTTTTAGTAGAGACGGGGTTTCACTATGTTGACCAGGATGGTCTCGATCTCTCGACCTCGTGATCCACCCGCCTCGGCCTCCCAAAGTGCTGGAATTACAGGCTTGAGCCACCACGCCCGGCCTTTTTTTTTTTTTTTTTTTTTGAGACGGAGTTTCGCTCTTGTTACCCAGGCTGGAATGCAATGGTGTGATCTCGGCTCACCGCAACCTCCGCCACCTGGGTTCAGGCAATTCTCCTGCCTCAGCCTCCTGAGTAGCTGGGATTACAGGCACGTGCCACCATGCCTATCTAATGTTTTGTATTTTTAGTAGAGACGGGGTTTCACCATGTTGACCAGGATGGTCTCGATCTCTTGACCTTGTGATCCACCCGCCTCGGCCGCCCAAAGTGCTGGGATTACAGTCTTGAGCCGCCGTGCCCGGCCAACACCAAGCTAATTTTTGAATTTTTAGTAGAGATGAGGTTTCAGCATGTTGGCAAGGCTGCCTTTGAACTCCTGACCTTTAGTGATCCATCTGCCTCGGCCTCCCAAAGTCCTGAGATTTATAGGCATGAGCTACCGCACCCAGACAAAACAAAATGTCTTTTAAAAAAAAAAAAAAAGTTTGGAGTCAGAGACATGTTGATCTACTAGTGTAGCTTCCACTGCATTACCAAATCAGATACAAAGTATCTCCAATTATTGGTCTCCTTTTCCAGAATTTACCAGACATCTGTGCACAGTAACCTATGTGTTTCATACGTGGTTTCTCTGATCTGGTCAACAAAGGTCTTACATCCAGATGTGGCCCCTGAACCATCCAGGCTGCCCAGCAGCACTGACATCACGGGGCCCACACCCCGTGTCCATTCAGGTCTGGTGTCAGCCCTTCCCATGACCATGCCCAGTGGAGTCTCTTCCTGAGTTCATGTCACTGGGTCACAGGAGATGGAATCTCAGAGCAGATGACAGGAACCGAGGGAAGGCATGGGTGATTGTGAGCCAACGTGTCAGGCAGGACGCTTCAGACCCAGAACACACTGGCTACTACAATACCTGGCATTTCAGAAAGGAAAGAGACAGATGAATCCACCGAGCAGTGTCACTTTACCTGAGGAAGAGCCATGCCTGGCTCCTTTTCTTGCCTCTTCTGAGCTGCTTCCTCACTTAACCTGAGCCTTTAGAAATCAACCCTGTACGTGAAAAAAATTTAAGACTTAACGTTAGAAAAAACTGATTCCCGACTCCCTTCCTGGGACAACACACACAAAGTGGGGACACCTCACCCTGTAGAAAGACGGGCCTCTGCTGCCCACTGCACCAGAGATCATGCAGAGAGAAGACAGTCCCGCAGGAACACCTGCAACTGTGTGTTTCACCCTGGTCTTCAGATCTCACTCCCCTCCTGGAGAAGCCCCACACACCAGGCAGCAGTGGGGAGCTCGGCTGGACTGAGCTCCTCTTCAGGGCACAGACCCTGCCCTGACCAAATCCCATCCACAGCACAGCCCCTCCCCTCTCTGTGGATCACAGGCTCAGCTCAGTCCTCAGAACTGGGGGACACAGAGCCCTGACCCTCAGTGCTGCTCACAGATTACTATCACCTGGGACACTGTAGGTATTACTGAGGGTGGGTTCCATCCCATCAGAATAAGCATCTCTGGTAAAGCAGAAGAATGTTCTATTTGCAAAATGCCTCTGCACTCGAATGTGAAGCCAGGGCTCAGCGCCACTCAGAGGGGTGAGCCCAGCACAGCCACGCGTTCTGGTTCTGCTCTGCCCTTCGGGCCTTCTTCTCACCAGGATCCAGACAGTGGATAGCAAAGCCACAGCACTAATCTCAAGAACAGGCAGCGTGGACTAGAGGTGGGGTCAAGGTTGGGCTGCGTGAAAGGAAAATAAAACTTGGGGCCCCAAAATCACTAAGCAAAAGGGAAAAGCCAAGCTGGGATCTGCTTAGGAAAGCAGAATCCCCTTCTACTCAAAGCCACCCCTCTGCTCCCTGACATAGACGTGTATCTGGCTGCTGTCTTTGGAAAGGCTAATCAGAAACTCAAAGTGAGGATGCAGCACAGTGGCTCACACCTGTAATGGCAACACTTTGTGAGGCTGAGGCAGGCGGATCACTTGGGGTCAAGAGACTGAGACCAGGCTGACCAACATGGGGAAACCACGTCTCTAGTAGAAATACAAACACCTGGCTGGGTGAGGTGGCTCATGCCTGTAATCCCAGTACTCTGGGAGGCCAAGGCTGGCAGGTCGCTTGAGGTCAGGAGTTCGAGACCTCCCTGGCCAACATGGTGAAACCCTGTCTCTAATGAAAAATACATAAAAATTAGCCAGGCATGGTGGCGAGTGCCTATAATCCCAGCTATTCGGCAGCCTGAGGCAGGAGAATTGCTTGAACCCAGGAGGTGGAGGTTGCTGTGAGCCAAGACTGCACCACTGCAATCAGTGTGCACCACTGCAATCACAATTCAGCCTGTGTGCCAGAGCAAGACTCCAACTGAAAAAAACAAAAACGATGTGAGCTGTTAAGATTCTACAAAAACTTGTTGCAGAAGTAATTTTTTTTTTCCAATTAAAAAGCGGCTCCACATGGTGGCTCATGCCTGTAATCTCATCACTTTTGCAGTCCGATGAGGCTGGATCGTTTGAGCCTAGGAGTTCAAGATGAGCCTGGACAACATGGTAAAACCCGGTCTGTACAAAAAACAAACACCTGGCTGGGTGAGATGGCTCATGCCTGTAATCACAGCACATAGGGAGGCCAAGGCAGCCAGATCGCTTGAGATCAGGAGTTTGAGACCAGCCTCACAAACACAGAGAAACCCCATATCTACAAAAAATTCAAAAATTAGCTGAGTGTGGTGGGGCATGCTTGTAGTCCCAGCTACTCAGAAGGCTGAGGAAGGAGAATCGCTTGAACACTAGAGATGGAGGTTGCAGTGAGGCAAAATTGTGCAACTGCACTCCAGCCTGGGTGACAAAGAGAGTCTCAAAAAAAAAAAAAAGGATATTTATTTATTTATTTATTTAAAGATGGGGTTTCTTCATGATGGCCAGGGTGGTCTTGAACTCCTGACCTTAGGTGATCCACCCACCTCAGCCTCCCAAAATGCCAGGATTACAGGTATGAGCCACCACAACGGGCCTCGGATATATATTTATATATATAAACATTAGCGAGGCCTGGTGGGGCGTGCCTGTGGTCCCAGCAACTGTGGAGGCGAAGGCTGAGGTGGGAACATCACTTGAGCCCATGGGGTTGCAGCTGCAGTGAGCTCTAATCCTACCACTGCACTCCCGCCTGGGCAACAGTAACAGCGTCTCTAAAAAATAAAAATTGAAGGCCAGGAGCAGTGGGTCACGCCTGTAATGCCAGCACTTTGGGAGCCTAGGGCAGGCAGATCAGCTGAGGTCAGCCCGACAGAGATTGAGAAACCCAGTATCTACTAAAGATACAAAACTAGCCGGGCATGGGAATGTACGTCTGTAATCCCAGCTACTTGGAAGCAAAGACAGAAGAATCACTTGAACCCCAGGCATGGAGACTGCAGTGAGCAAAGATTGCGCCACTGCACTCCAGCGTGAGTGACGAGCAAAATTCCTCTCAAAAAAAAGAAATAAAGAAATAAAACTGAAAAAATAAAAAACTAATAAAATGAGAGGAACTAGAAAAAAGTAAACTTATTACAATAAGAGTTTTGAGAATTTTCAAAATTGTCAGCTGGAGTGCAAGAATGCAATCTCAGTTCACCACAACCTCCATCTCCCAGGTTGAAGTGATTCTCATGCCTCAGCCTCCTGAGTAGCTGGGATTACAGGTATTCGCACCATGCCAGGCGAAATTTTTGTAATTTTAGTAAAGACAGGGTTTCTCCATGTTGGTCAAGCTGTTCTTGAACTCTGTACCTCAGGTGATTCACTCGCCTCGGCTTCCCAAAGTGCTGGGATTACAGGCGGCAGCTACCGCGCCCGACCCAAAAGCACGTTTAACATTCTTTTTTGTTTTTGTTTTTGAAATGGAGTTTCACTCTTGCTACCCAGGCTGGAGTGCAATGGCGTGATCTCGGCTCACCGCAACCTCCGCCTCCTGGGTTCAAGCAATTCTCCTGCCTCAGCCTCCTGAGTAGCTGGGACTACAGGCATGAGCCACCATACCCAGCTAATTTTTTGTATTTTTAGTAGAGACGGGGTTTCACTATGTTGACCAGGATGGCCTCGATCTCTTGACCTCGTGATCCACCCGCCTCTGCCTCCCAAAGTTTAGTTATTAGATTATATATACAGAAGTCAACATGTCACAACTAATCAAATCCAATGAACTCACCCACTCATCTGTACCCAAAGCCCCCGCCCTTTTTTTCTTTTGAGACAGAATCTCACTCTGTTGACAGATGATGATCTTGGCTCACTGCAACCTGGACCTCCTGGGCTCAACTAATTCTTCTACCCACCACTCTATAGAGTAGCTGAGATTACAGGTGCGCATCATCACAGTTGGTTTTTTTGTTTTGTTTTGTTTTGTTTGTTTTGTTTTGTTTGTAGAGATGGGGTCCCACTATGTTGCCCAGGCTGGTCTGAAACTCCTGGACTCAAGCATCCTCTTGCCTCAGTCTCCTAAAAACTGCTGGGATTACAGGCGGGAGCCACTGTCCCCAGCCCCTCTTTCTCTATTACTTTTCTTTTCTTTTTTTTTTTTTTTTGAGACGGAGTTTCGCTCTTGTTACCCAGGCTGGAGTGCAATGGCGCGATCTTGGCTCACCGCAACCTCCGCCTCCTGGGTTCAGGCAATTCTCCTGCCTCAGCCTCCTGAGTAGCTGGGATTACAGGCACGCGCCACCACGCCCAGCTAATTTTTTTTGTATTTTTAGTAGAGACGGGGTTTCACCATGTTGACCAGGTTGGTCTCGATCTCTCGACCTTGTGATCCACCCGCCTCAGCCCCCAAAGTGCTGGGATTACAGGCTTGAGCCACCGCACCCGGCTTCTCTATTACTTTTCATCACATTCATTGCTTCCCTCCCTAATTCTGCACATCTCTCTCATTCTCCCCTTCTCTCTCTAGCTCTTTTTCTTTTCTTTTCCCCTGGGATTCTGCTCCTCACTTGTACCCTTCTCCTCTCCTGCTGTTTATCCCCTTCTTCCCTCTATTCCTCCTCTTCCGCCTCTTCTGCTCCGTCCTGCCAAATTATTTAACCTCTTGTTGCTCCTTCTCCCCAATCTTTTGATCATCCTCAATCTCCATGTATTTCCGACTCTTATTCTATCTCTGCTCCTTCTCTGCTCTCCCTGCTGAGTTCTCTCTACCCTGTTATACTCCCCCGTCCCCACTCTCTGGCACCCCACATCCCCAGGTGTCCTCCGTGCTGTGCTTCCCGCTGTTCTCCTTGCCACCAGCACCCTCTGCTCTGTCAGCCCCGGCTCCAAACGCCTCCTCGTCTCCCTCACTCTCCTGAGCCTCCCTCTTTGCTGCCCCATCCTTGCTTTGCTGCCCTTCATCTCCTCGATACTTCGAGCTTTTCTCTACACTTCTCCAGTTGCTTTTTCCTCCTTTTTTTTTTTTTTTTTGTTGTTGTTGTTTTTCTTTTTTTTTTTTTTTGAGACTGAGTTTCGCCCTTGTTACCCAGGCTGGAGTGCAATGGCGCGATCTCGGCTCACCGCAACCTCCGCCTCCTGGGCTCAGGCGATTCTCCTGCCTCAGCCTCCTGAGTAGCTGGGATCACAGGCACGTGCCACCATGCCCAGCCAATTTTTTGCACTTTTAGTAGAGACGGGGTTTCACCATGTTGACCAGGATGGTCTCGATCTCTCGACCTCGTGATCCACCCGCCTCGGCCTCCCAAAGTGCTGGGATTACAGGCTTGAGCCACCGCGCCCGGCTTGTTTTTTTTTTTTTTTTTTTTTTCACTTTTGCTGTCTCTTGGCAAATCTCTCCCCCATCCCCGACTTTGCCATCTATTATGGGTCTTTCTCACTCTTCTTTTCTGTCTCAGGTTTTCTACTGCTCGGAACGAATTTTCCAGAGGCTGGAGCTGGACAGGCAAGAGCACCCCGTGTCACAGGACAGGTCCTGGGCACCTCCCCAATGCCGCTCAGCGGAAGCGGTAACTGAGGACGGGAGACCTGGGGAGCAGCAGGGCCCCTCAAAAGGAGGGAGGCGTGGGGGCAACGGCTTTTTAGAACAAAGGTGGAGTCTGCAGGATCCCACGACCAGGCAGAGGACGCGTGTTCCCAGGGACTGAGGCTGCGGGGCTGCCCTCAGGGGGCCAGAAGGGTGAGGGTGGGAGGCGCCCAGGGCGGGAATCCACCTGTCCAGTGAGGACTTCAAAAAGCGAGGGGCGGCCGGGCGCGGTGGCTCAAGCCTGTAATCCCAACACTTTGGGAGGCCGAGGCGGGTGGATCACGAGGTCAAGAGATCGAGACCATCCTGGTCAACATGGTGAAATCCCGTCTCTACTAAAAACACAAAAAATTAGCTGGGCATGGTGGCGCGTGCCTGTAATCCCAGCTACTCAGGAGGCTGAGGCAGGAGAATTGCCTGAACCCAGGAGGCGGAGGTTGCAGTGAGCCGAGATCGCGCCATGGCACTCCAGCCTGGGTAACAAGAGTGAAATTCCGTCTCAAAAAAAAAAAAAAAAAAAAAAAAAAAAAGCGAGGGGCGGGGCTGGGCGTGTTGGCTCACGCCTGTAATCCAAGCACTTTGGAAGCCAAGGTGGGCGGATGACCTGAGGTTCCGAGTTCAAGACCAGCCTGACCAACATGCTGAAACCCCGTTGTTGTTTTTTTTTTTTTTTTTTGAGACAGATTCTCACTCTGTCACCAGGCGCCAGGCTGGAGTGCAGTGGCGTGACCTCGGCTCACTGCAACCTCTGCCTCCCAGGTTCAAGCAATTCTCCTGCCTCAGCCTCCCGAGTAGCTGGGACTACAGGTGCACGCTACCACGCCCAGTTAATTTTTTTTGTATTTTTAGTAGAGACGGGGTTTCACCATGTTGGCCAGGATAGTCTCGATCTCTTGACCTCGTGATCCATCTGCCTCAGCCTCCCAAGGTGCTGGGATTACAGGCGTGAGCCACGGCGCCCGGCCTGAAACCCTATCTTTTGAAAAAAAAAAAAAAAAAAAAAAAGCGAGGGGCTGGAAGAGTTCGAAAAAGGTCTTGAGCAGGAAAAGGAAGTGTATACAGTGCCCTACCGCAGAAAAACCAGGGACGGGACAAGCCTGACGGCGACTTTAAACCACAAAGGGGGCGACCCTCGGACTCTCATGGGGCCGTCTCAATTTGCTCTGGGTGAAGGAAGACGGGTGAGAATTCCCAGTTCTGTGGGGACCCCACGTCCCAGGTACAGAAGGGCCGGGGACCTGGGAAGCGGAGACAGAATTCAGGACAGCGAAACTCACGCGTCGCAGAGGCACCCTCACGCCATGCGATCCGCTTCCGGGTTTGCGCGAGTCTGCGTGCGCAGGCCGGAAGTCAGTCCTGGGCGTGGCCCGCGGGATGTAGGCGGGGCCTGGGCAAGGTAGGGGCGGGGCGCAAGGCGGAGAGACCTGGCCCTTCAGAACCCGCAGGGGCGTGGGGGGCACCACGTGTGTGTCTCTCAGCCTCGATCCCGGCGCTTCTGTTTCTCGGGTTTTGGAGGTGAGACCGACCGGGAAGGCTGAGAGCTTTTTCAAAAGCCCTGGAATTTTCTGGAACGGGGATGCAAACCAGAATGTGAAATGCAAAGCTCTGCCTTGGCGGAACGTACAATTGCATGCTCATGGCCCACGGAACAGAATAGAAATCCTCTCCCTTTTCATTCTCCATTCATTCGGGAGGGAGAGTCCAATCTGTGTTCAGCTTCAGAGACTTTCCTAATGCCACTGCCTGGGAGGCGGGGCGGAGTGCTCAGGCCGGGAGGCGTGAGGTCACCACCTGCTGTTTAAACAGCTGGGATGCGGACGCAGGGGCGGGAGCCTTACGCCCCAGCTACTCTGGAAGCAGCGGCGGGAGGACTGATACACTTAAAGGAAGATTACATCATCCACAACAAGGGACAGTAAACCAGGAGCGATGGCTCACGCCTGTAATCGCAACACCTTAGGAGGCTGAGGTGTGTGGATCGCCTGAGGTTAGGCTTTCGAGACCAGCCTGACCAACAAGGTGAAACCCCATCTCTACTAAAAATACAAAAATTAGCTGGGTGTGGTGGCAGGCACCTGCAGTCCCAGCTACTCAGAAGGCTGAGACAGGAGAATTGCTTGAACCCGGAAGGCGAAGGTTACACAGAGCTGAGATTGTGCCCCTGCACTCCAGCCTGGGCGAGGGAGTGAGCCTCCGTCTCAAAAACAACCGAAGGGACAATGCTCTTAAAAGCTCTTATCCCGGCAGGGCGCGGTGGCTCAAGCCTGTAATCCCAGCACTTTGGGAGGCCGAGGCAGGTGGATTACGAGGTCAAGAGATCGAGACCATCCTGGTCAACATGGTGAAACCCCGTCTCTACTAAAAATACAAAAAAAAATTAGCTGGGCATGGTGGCGCGTGCCTGTAATCCCAGCTACTCGGGAGGCTGAGGCAGGAGAATTGCTTGAACCCAGGAGGCGGAGGTTGCGGTGAGCCGAGATAGCGCCATTGCACTCCAGCCTGGGTAACAAGAGCGAAACTCCACCTCAAAAAAAAAAAAAAAAAAAAAAAAAATTTACCTCAACAGTACAAAGACCATCCATGAAAAGACCACAGCGAAAATAACCAAGCAGAGAAAATGGAATGCGTTTTCTGTAGGATCTTACATGATGCAAGAATGCTCTCACTTCTTCTATTCAATAAATATTAGCTGTTCTACCCAGAGCAGTTAAGTAGCAAAAGAAATAAAACTCATCCAAATCGGAAGGAAAAAAGTACAATTATATTTATTTGAAGACGACAAGATCTTCTGTGTTGGAAATCACAAAAAGCTGGCCAGGCACGGTGGCTCAAATCTGTAGTCCCAGCACTTTGGGAGGCCTAGGTGAGCAGATCACAAGGTCAGGAGTTCGAGATCCTCCAGACCAACATAGCGAAACCCTGTCTTTACTAAAAACATACAAAAATTAGCCAGGCATGGTGGTGGGGGCCTATAATCCCAGCTACTCAGCAGACTGGGGCAGAAGAATCGCTTGAACACAGAAGGCAGAGGTTGCAGTCACCCAACCACACCACTGCACTCCAGATTGGGCGACAGAGTGAGACAATGTCTCAAAAAAAAAAAAAAAAAAAGAAAAAAGAAAAATCATAAGAAGTCAACGAAAATGCTACTGGAATTAATAAACACAGTCAGTGTATTTGCAGAATACAGTATCAGCACCAAAAATTAGTTGAATTTCCATACATTAACAATAAAAAATTTTAAAAGAAAATTAAGAAAACACTAACATTTGCTAGATAAAGTAAGAAATACTTAGGAAGAAACCTGAAGAGGTAAGAAGTTTGTAACCTGAAATCTACAAACATTGATCAAAATAATTTAAAAATTATAGAGATACAACCCATATTGATAACTGAAAAAAATTAATAACCAAATATGATTTAGAGTCAATACAATATTCATAAAAATCCCTATCAGTTTTTGTTATAGAAACAAAGAATGGGCCAGGTGAGGTGGCTCACATCTGTAATCTCAGCACTTTGGCAGGCCGAGGCGGGTAGATCACCTGGCGTCAGGAGTTTGAGACTAGGCTGACCAACATAGTGAAACCCCATCTCTAACTAAAAATACTAAAAAATTAGCCGGGCATAGTGGTAGGCACCTGTAATCCCAGCTACTTGGGAGGCTGAGGCAGGAGAATCACTTGAACTTGGGAGGTGGAGGTTGCAGTGAGCCAAGATAGTACCATTGCACTCCAGCCTGGGCAACAAGAGCAAGACTCCATCTCAAAAAACAAAAAAAAGAGAAAGAAACAAAGAAGAGGCCAGGCATGGTAGCTCATGCCTGTACTCCTAGCACTTTGGGAGACCGAGATGGGCATACGCTTGTGGTCAGGAGTTTGAGACGAGACTGGCCAACATGGTGAAACCCTATCTCTACTAAAAATACAAAAACTGCCTGGGCATGGTGGTGGACGCCTGTAATCCCAGCTACTTGAGAGGCTTAAACAGGAGAAATGCTTGAACGCAGGAGGCGGAGGTTGCAGAGAGCTGAGATCGCACCAAAGCATGGGCAAAAAAAGCAAGACTCAGTCTAAAAATTAAAACTAAAAAAAAAAAAAAAAAAAAAGAGGCTGGGAATAGTGGCCAACATCCATTGGCCAGACTGGTCTCAAACTCTTGATCTCAAGTGATCTACCCATCTTGGCCTCCCAAAACTGCTAAGATTACTGGCATGAGCCACCACACCTGGCCCAATCCTCTTAACATAAACGCTTTAATATCAATTAATGCTTGAACTCAATGTTATGTCAACTCAAACTCAAGTCAATGCTAAATTCTATGTTTTGCATAAGATGAAGCTTGACTGAAGACTTTGCCACAATCATGGCATTTGTAAGCTTTTCTCTAGTATAAATTTTTTTTTTTTTTTTTTTTTTTTGAGACGGAGTTTCACTCTTGTTACCCAGGCTGGAGTGCAATGGTGCGATCTCGTCTCACCGCAACCTCCGCCTCCTGGGTTCAGGCAATTCTCCTGCCTCAGCCTCCTGAGTAGCTGGGATTACAGGCACGCGCCACCATGCCCAGCTAACTTTTTGTATTTTTAGTAGAGATGGGGTTTCACCTTGCTGACCAGGATGGTCTTGATCTCTTGACCTCGTGATCCACCCGCCTCGGCCTCCCAAAGGGCTGGGATTACAGGCTTTAGCCACCACGCCCGGCCATCTCTAGTATAAATTTTATGATGATGTGCAAGTTTTGATTTTTGTTTAAATACCTTGCCACATTTATTACACTTGCATGGTCTCTCTCCAGGATGAAGTACATGATGTGTAAGGTTTGACTGTTGCTTTAATAACCTTGCCACATTCATTACACTTGTTAAGTTTCTCTCCAGCATGAAGTCTATGATAACATGTGAGGTTTGACTGTTGATTAAAAAATTTTGCCACATTTATTGCACTTTTAAGGTTTCTCTGCACTATGAATTGAATTATCAATTACACAGGCTGAATTTTGACCAAAGGTCTTGCCATACTCATCATTACACTTGTAAGGTTTCTCTCCACTATGAGGTTTACGATGGCACACAAGGGATGACATCTGACTGAAGGACTTGCCACACTCTTTACTGCTTCTAAGGTTTCCCTCCATATGAGTTCACCAATGAACTGCAACGTATGAACAATATCTAAGAAATGTGCCACATTTATTACACTTTTAAGATCTCTCTTCATTATGGATTCTCCAATGATTTGCAATGGCTGTAGCATTACTGAAGACGTGATGACAATCATTACGTTAGAAAAGTTTCCCTATACCATGGATTGATTTATGGTGACTTAAGTGTTGAATGCCCCCGAAAGGCTCTGCCTCACTCATTACACTTGTGAAGTTTCTCTCCTGTGTGGATTCTAGTATGTCATGCCAGGTGTGAATCACACCCGAAAGCCTTGTCACGAACCTTACATTTGTATGGTTTCTCTCTAGTACGAATTGTCCTGAATTGTCCTGTGTCTTTCAAGGTGTGATTTGTGACTGAAAACTTGGTCACATTCTTCACATTTGTAAGGTCTCTCTCCAGTATGAAGTCTACAATGAAGTACAAGGTATGCTTTTCTATTAAAAACCTTTTCACATTCATTACACTTGTGAGGTTTCTCTCCAGTATGAACTGCCTTATGGTTTACAAGGGTTGAATACTCTGACGGAAGATCTTGTCACACTCATTACACTTGTAAGGTTTCTCTCCTGTATGAATTCTGCGATGGTATTTAAGGGATGACGTGTGACTGAAGGTCTTGCCACACTCATTACACTTGGAAGGTTTCTCTCTAGTATGCAGTCTATGATGGTATACAAGGACTGTCGTGTGACTAAAGGTCTTGCCACACTCATCACACTTGTAAGGTTCTTCTCCAGTATGAACTCTAAGATGATATTTAAAGGATGACATGTGAATGAAGGTCTTGTCACACTCATTACACTTGTAAGGTTTCTCTCCAGTATGAAGTCTACGATGGCATTTCAGGGGAGATGTCTGACAGAAGATCTTAACACACTTATCAATCTTCTATGGTTTCTCTCCAGAATGAAGTCTACAATGGCGTGTAAGGGATGACATCTGACTGAAGTTCATGCCACACTCACTACACTTGTAAGGTTTCTCTCCAGTGTGAATTCTAGTATGTTGTGCCAGGTGTGAATCACGCCTGAAGGCCTTGTCACAAACCTTACATTTGTAAGGTTTCTCTCCAGTATGAATTGCCTTATGATTTACAAAGACTGAATTTCGACCGAAGGTCTTGCCACACTCATTACACTTGTAAGGTTTCTCTCCAGTATGAGCTCTACGATGATATTCAAAGGATGTCGGGTGACTGAAGGTCTTGCCACACTCAGTACACTTGTAAGGTTTCTCTCCAGTATGAGCTCTACGATGATATTCAAAGGATGTCGGGTGACTGAAGGTCTTGCCACACTCAGTACACGTGCAAGGTTTCTCTCCAGTATGAACTCTACGATGGTATTCAAAGGATGTCGGGTGACTGAAGGTCTTGCCACATTCATTACACTTGTAAGGTTTCTCTCCAGTATGCACTCTATGATGGTATACAAGGGCTGGAGCGTGACTGAAGGTCTTGCCACACTCATTACACTTGTAAGGTTTTCCTCCAGTATGAACTTGACAATGATATTTAAAGGATGACGGGTGACTGAAGGTCTTGGCACACTCATTACACTTGTAAGGTTTCTCTCCAGTGTGAATTCTAGTATGTCGTGCCAGGTGTGAATCACGCCCAAAAGCCTTGTCACAAACCTTACATTTGTAAGGTTTCTCTCCAGTATGAACTACCTTATGATTTGCAAGAGCTGAATTTCGAACAAAGGTCTTCCCACACTCATTACACTTGTAAGGTTTCTCTCCAGTATGCAGTCTATGATGGTATACAAGAGCTGTCGTGTGACTAAAGGTCTTGCCACACTCATCACACTTGTAAGGTTTCTCTCCAGTATGAAGTCTACTATGGCGTGTAAGGGATGACTTTTGACTGAAGGTCTTGCCACACTCACTACACTTGTAAGGTTTGTCACCAGTGTGACATCTACGATGGCGTTCAAGGTATCGATTCTGATTAAAGACCTTGCCACATACGTCACATTGATATTGTTTTTCTGCTAAATGGATTACCTGATGTGTCCTTAAGAGTGATCTGCAATTAAAGGTTTTGCCACTCTCATGACATTGGAAAGGTTTTTCTCTCATGTGTACTTCCTGTTTTTCTGTAAGAAATGAAGAATAAAGGAAATTAATCCCATAGTTATTAGAAACATGGATTTTGGGCCTACAAGAAATTCTTTGGGATGCCGAAACAAGGGAAGCATCGTTGACAGACTTTTCAACTCGATTACCAATGTTCCCTTCAGTCTGAAATATGTGGACTTCAGGGAAATGTGAATGAAAGCTTAATCCAAGCTGATCTTTAATAGGCTTGTTTTCAGCATGCCTTTCGTCATATTGGTCTGTACTACTAGGAAACTCTTTGGTTTCTGCCATGGGTGCTTCGTGGCCATTTCTTTCATCTTCTTGCCACTGAAACTCAATGTCATGAGTATCTTTCTCAATTTCCTGGAAGCAAAAATTTTCAATATGATGACTTTCCTGTGTTTCCAATGTCCCTGTGCGGAATGTTTCTGTATTGCCTAGCCCTTTGGATGAGAACTCTTTCATCATGCATTTGGAAGAGATGTCTACAAAATATAAAAACCAGTAGATTTCCAATTAGATGCATAATGCTAAAATGTGTAAACATGACACAAAAATAAAACCTATTTTAAACTTTCCAAACATGATCTTCAAAGTTTAGGAACACAAAATGAGTGAGATTTTTTAATAAATAAAGAAGAGCCGGGCGCGGTGGCTCAAGCCTGTAATCCCAGCACTTTGGGAGGCCGAGGCGGGTGGATCACGAGGTCAAGAGATCGAGACCATCCTGGTCAACATGGTTAAACCCCGTCTCTACTAAAAATACAAAAAAAATTAGCTGGGCATGGTGGCGCGTGCCTGTAATCCCAGCTACTCAGGAGGCTGGGGCAGGAGAATTGCCTGAGCCCAGGAGGCGGACGTTGCGGTGAGCCGAGATCGCGCCATTGCACTCCAGCCTGGGTAACAAGAGCGAAACTCCGTCTCAAAAAAAAACAAAATAAAATAAAATAAATAAATAAATAAATAAAGAAGAATTACGTGGACTTCAAAGCATTTCTACAGAAGCCTATTTCCAAAATCATGAGAAAACACTGACCAGACACCAGCATGTGTGAGCCTAAAGTAAGGAATATTTTTCCACTGTGACCATGAAGTATATAACAGTTTGCAAAAAATATAACATTGTCACATCAATGAAGAGAAACATATATATTCTTCAAATTTGTAGCATATTTCCTGTATATAAAAAGATACTAAAGAACCACACAGTATATTGTATTGATAAATAATCCTTCATGAACTCATGTAAGGATAACCAATATCAATGGGGATTCAGCACTGTCAAACAATCATAGCATTGAGAAGACAAGAAAAGGTTTCAAAAATTAGTCAGGCATAGTAGTCCCAGCTACTCTGGAGCCTGAGGGATAAAAATCACTTGAACCCAATAGGCAGAGGTTGCATTCAGCTGAGATCGCAACACTGTACTCCAGCCTGAGCAACAAGGTGAGACCCAGCCTCAAAGGGAAAAAAATAATAAAAGAGAAAAAAATGTTAATACTATATTTTCTCTGAGTAAATGTTATAAAATTACCTATATCCATGCAGAACAGGCACTTTGTGACATTTTTAAATTACTATTTTTTTTTTTGTATATTAATTTTTTTCAGAGAGTCTTGCTCTGTCACCCAAGCTGGAGTGCAATAGCGCGATCAGGGCTCATGGCAGCCTCCGCCTCCTGGGTTCAAGCAATTCTCCTGCCTCAGCCTCCTGAGTAGCTGGGATTACAGGCACGCGCCACCACGCCCGGCTAATTTTTCTATTTTTAGTAGAGATGAAGTGTCATCATGTTAGCCAGGCTGGTCTTGAACTCCTGACTTCCAAGTCATCCAACCACCTCAGCCTCCCAAAGTCCTGGGATTACAGGCATGAGCTACTGTGACTGGTAGGAGTTTGTGACATTAGGGAGTGGAGTGTGTCAGTTACATTGCACACCACATATGAAAAAAACCATATATATAAAGTATTGTAATCCATCATAAAACTAGCAAGCAAATAATAAGTCCATTTATATAGCCGGGAGAATTCTAAACAATCTCCTCTTATGAAAAAAGCCACAACTTCTACTTGCCATCAGCACACAATATAAGAGCTGAAATACATGTTAACACCACTACTAGGTCAAGAGATCAAGACCATCCTGGTCAACATGGTGAAACCCCGTCTCTACTAAAAACACAAAAAATTAGCTGGGCATGGTGGCACGTGCCTGTAATCCCAGCTACTCAGGAGGCTGAGGCAGGAGAATTGCCTGAACCCAGGAGGCGGAGGTTGCGGTGAGCCGAGATCGTGCCATTGCACTCTAGCCTGTGTAACAAGAGCGAAACTCCGTCTCAAAAAAAAAAAAAAAAGAATACAAGAAATAAGCAGAGCATAACGGCACGCAGTTGTAGTCCCAGCTACTTGGAAGGCTGAGGCATGAGAATCACTTGAACCTGGGAGGCAGAGTTTGCAGTGAGCCGAGATCACACCACTGCCCTCCAGCCTGGGCAACAGACCAAGACTCTATCTCAAAAAAAAAAAAAAAAAAAAAAAAAAGAAATGAAAGAAGGCTAAGGAGTAATTTCAACACACAAATATATATAAAGTTCTTCACTAAAGGTAAATTAAAGGACAGATAGACCAGTTACTGTGGTTCACGTCTGTTATCCCAGCACATTAGGAGGACAAGGCAGGTTAATCACATGAGGTCGGGAGTTTGAGACCAGCCTAACGAAAAAGGAGAAACCCTGTCTCTACAAAATATATAAAATCAGCAGGGGGTGGTAGCATATGCCCATAATGCCAGCTGAGGAACCTTGTGACATACAAAGAAATGCATGTATTGGTCTTTCCCCAGTTCCTGACACAGAGTTCCTAAGACCTTGGGATGTCCTGGGTGATGGAAGGGTGATTTGTCCTAATGAGGCAACCTCTAAGGTCTCCTGGATGGGGCTGATCACCAGAAAGATCAGGACATGCTTAGAAGCATGAGCCAGTCACTGCCATCAGCCATCCTCCACAAAGGGGAGAGGGGCTGGACACTGAGTGAATATCAATCATGACTACATGATGAAGCCTCCTGGCAAATCCCTGAACTGTGAGGGATATGAGAGATTCCAAATGTTGAACACACGCAGTAGTACCTGGGGCATGGCACACCAGGGAACCTTCCCAGGGTCCTTGTGAGGAGCACAGATCACTGGAAAAATGCCTCTGGTTTTATGTACACTGATATTTGTTAAAGCCACTGCTACTTTTTTTTTTTTCCCCAGAGATAGAATCTCACTGTGTTCCCCAAGCTGGAGTGCAGTGGCATGATCTTGGCTCACTGCAACCTCTGCCTCCCAGGTTCAAGCAACTCTCCTACCTCAGACGCCTGAGTAGCAAACAGGGAAATGGATATGTTCAAAAAACAAAAACAAAAGCTCACTTTCACTGTTGATGTCCTGGCTGGAGGGCAGCAGAGTGAAATGGCGTGATCACAAGTCACTGCAACCTCCACCTCCCAAGTTTAAGCCATTCTCCTACCTCCGCCTCCAAGTAGCTGGGATTATCACAATCTCCAGCTAATTTTGTATTTTTAGTACAGACAGGGTTTCTCCATGTTGATCAGGCTGGTCTGGAACTCCCGACCTCAGGTGATCCACCCACCTCAGCCTCCTAAAGTGCTGGGATTACAGGTGGGAACCACCGCACCCAGCCAGAAGTGGATATCATTAAAGTCTGCCATAACGTTTTGTGTTTTTGAGACAGCGTTTCACCTGGGCTGGAGAGCAGTGGTAGGATCTCAGCTCACTGCAACCTTCGCCTCCTAGGATCAAGCGATTCTCCATCTGCAGCCTTTCTAGTAGCTGAAATTACAGGCGTGGGCCACCACGCCCAGCTGGTTTTTGTATTTTTAGTGGAGATGAGGTTTCACTATGTTGGCCAGGCTGGTCTCAAACTCCTGACCTAAAGTGATCCACAATCCTCAGCTTCCCACATTACTGGGATTATAGGCATGGGTGATGACCCCTGGCCTGCCATAAGGTTTTATAATTACCTTAGTTCTGGAACCCCCACTGAGGTATCATGAAGAACACACAACATCTAAACTAAGGGGATACTTAAAGTCCAGATGCTGCATCATGAAGCTTTTCATTTCAAAATCAATACGGCTTCCACTTTAGTCCAGCAAGGACGCGGCTCCCAAGAGGCAACAAGGGAAAATACAAACACACGCAAGGGCACATCCCCGCTTCTGGGGGAAGTTGTCCTCACCCAGGGAGACCAGGTTCCTGTAGTTCTCCAGCATCACGTCCCTGTATAAAGTCCTCTGAGCAGAGTCCAGGTATCTCCACTCCTCCGGAGAGAATTCTATGGCCACATCCCTGAATGTCAATAGACCCTGAAATGAAAACACATTTTAACCAAATCATTGTGAGAGGAGTTCGTTTTTTTTTCTTTCTTTTTCGAGATGGAGTTTCCCTCCTGTTGCCCAGGCTGGAGTGCAATGGCATGATCTGGGCTCAACAAAAGCTCTGCCACCTGGGTTCAAGCAATTCTCCTTCAGCTTCTCGAGTAGCTAGGATTACAAGATGACGCCACCATACCCGACTAACTTTGTATTTTTTTTTTTTTTTTTTTTTTTGAGACGGAGGTTCGCTCTTGTTACCCAGGCTGGAGTGCAATGGCGCAGTCTCGGCTCACTGCAACCTCCGCCTCCTGGGTTCAGGCAATTCTCCTGCCTCAGCCTCCTAAGTAGCTGGGATTACAGGCATCTGCCACCATGCCCAGCTAATTTTTTGTATTTTTAGTAGAGACGGGGTTTCACCATGTTGACCAGGATGGTCTTGATCTCTCGACCTCGTGATCCACCCGCCTCGGCCTCCCAAAGTGCTGGGATTACAGGCTTGAGCCACCGCACCCGGCCCTAACTTTGTATTTTTAATAGAGACAGGGAGGCTGAGGCTGGAGGTTGCAGTGAGCCAAGATCGCACCAGTGCAGTCCAGCCTGGGCAACAGAGTGAAACTCCATCTCAAAATAAAATAAAACACGTGAAAACAAAATTATGTTCTGTAGTGTGGAGAGCAAGAAGAAAAAAGAAAAATAAAACACAATACTCAAAGTAAGAAAATCCATTCTGGCCGGGCGCGGTGGCTGAAGCCTGTAATCCCAGCACTTTGGGAGGCTGAGGCGGGTGGATCACAAGGTCAAGAGATCGAGACCGATGTGGTCAACATGGTGAAACCCCATCTCTACTAAAAATATAAAACATTAGCTGGGCATGGTGGTGCGTGCCTGTAATCCCAGCTACTCAGGAGGCTGAGGCAGGAGAATTGCCTGAACCCAGGAGGCGGAGGTGGCGGTGAGCTGAGATCATGCCATTGCACTCCAGCCTGTGAAACAAGAGCGAAACTCCGTATCAAAAAAAAAAAAAGAAAAAAGATGATCTCTTGACCTTGTGATCTGCCCGCCTCAGCCTCCCAAAGTGCTGGGATTACAGGCATGATCCACCGCGCCTGGCCAGCACAATCACCCTTTCAACTCTCTGACCTGGAAGAATCTTCAGATATCTGTAGTCATGCAGGCACACACAGAGGTAGCCACTGAGGCACTATTAATACAGAGGAAAATTGCAGAGGACACACATGTTGTCATTCAGCCAATTTCCAATGCAGATGTCAAAGAGCAAGCTAGCCATGTCTACTAACATGAGAACACGTGAAGTTTCACAACTAGCAGGATCAAATTTCAAAGCAAAATATTTACTGGAGCACAAAGAAGAAAGCAACAGGCACTGGCACTCTTGAGGGTGAAGGGCGGGAAAGAAAAGTGGCAGGAAAAATAACCATTAAGGGCCAGTGGCCGGGTGCAGTGGCTCATGCCTGTAGTCCTAGCACTTTGAGAGGCTGAGGTGGGTGGATCACCCAGGGTCAGGAGTTCAAAACCAGCCTGGCCATCATGGTGAAACCCCATCTTTTTTTTTTTTTTAAAAAAGGACTGGTCACAGTGGTTCACGCATGTAATCCCAGCACTTTGGGAGGCCAGGATGGGTGATTCACTTGAGACCAGGAGTTCAAGACCAGCCTGATCAACATGCTAGATTGTTGTCTCTAGCAAAAATAGAAAAATTAGCCAATAGTGGGGACAGGCACCTATAATCCCAGCTACTGGGGAGGCTGAAACAGGAGAATCGCTTGAACCTGGGAGGCAGAGATTGTGGTGAGCCGAGATCATGCCATTATACTCCACCCTGGGCAACAAGAGCAAAACTCAGTCTCAAAAAAGTAAAGAGCCAGGCATGGTTGCTCATGGCTGTAATCCAAACACTTTGGGAGGTCGAAGCAGTGGAACAGGAGGTCAGGAGTTTAAGACCAGTGTGGCCAAGATGGTAAAACCCCTTTTCTACTACAAATACAAAGCAAAAAAAAAAAAAAAAAAGCTGAGCATGGTGGTGCATGCCTATAATCCCAGCTGCTCAGGACGTCTAGGCAGAGAATTGCTTAAACCCAGGAACCGGAGGTTTCGGTGAGAGGAGGTGGTGTCACTGCACTCCAGCCTCCGCGACAGAGCAAGATCCAGTCTCCAAATAATAATAATAAATAAAAAATAACTATTGGGTACTGCGCGTAATACTGGAGTGATGAAATAATCTGTAAAACAAACCCTGACTACACAAGTTTACCTATGTAACAAACCTTCGCATGGAGCCCCAAACCTAAAGTAAAAAAAAAACCATTAAAATGTTTTTTAATTCACTGCAGAAGTTTTTCTTGTCTCATAACGATGACAAAAATACATGTAGACGACACCTGCTCGGATACCTGACAGAAATCTGATAGTAGTGGGTCCCCGGTGAGGCTGGAAGGAGGGCGGGGGACGTCACAGGGAAAGCAGGTGCTTTATGACCAAGGGGCTAACCTGCAGCTGTGCTTGGAGCTTTACCACAAAACAAATATGTACATTATGTGGTGCTTAAATATAAAAATATACATTTAATAATAAATAATGGAGCTGGGCACGATGGCTTACGCCTGTAATTCGAGCACTCTAAGAGGCTGATGTGGGTGGATTATCTAAGGTCAGGAGCTCAGGACCAGCCTGGCCAACATGGTGAAACCCCATCTCTGCTAAAAATACAAAAAAAAAAAATTAGACTAGCATGGTGGCACTTGCCTGTAATTTCAGCTACCGGGGAGGCTAAGGCAAGAGAATCACTTGAACCCAGGAGGCGGAGGTTGCAGTTAGCCGAGATTGTGCCACTGGATGCTAGCCTGACCAACAGCAACACTCCAGCTCAAAAATAATGATAACAGGCCTGACGTGGTGGCTGATGCCTATTATCCAGCACTCTGGGAGGCTGCGGCGGGTGGATCACAAGGTCAGGAGTTTGAGACCAGCCTGGCCAACATGGTGAAACCCCGACTCTACTAAAAATACAATAAGGCTCCTTTCGTATGCTTAAAATAACAATGGCATAAAATACCTTGTATCATTCATGTCTGTGTATGAACTTTCCATTCTAGTGAGTAAGATTTTTGGAGTCAAAAAACAGTAACTCACTCGATTACCTAAAAATATAGTATAAAATGAGGCAGAAATGATTTCCCCTTATTGGCCTCCTTTTCTAGAATTTACCCCATACTCTGTGCAAATTAATATGTAACTCCCATGGGCAGCTGCTCCACTCCTGGTCTACAGAGAGATGACGGTGCATCCCGATGTGGCCCCTGAACAATCCCTGCTGCCCAGCAGCCCTGACACCATGGGGCCCACACCCCATCTCCATCCACGTCTGGGGTGAGCCCTTCCCAGGACCATGCCCAGTGCAGCCTCTTCCCAAGCTCATGTCACTGGGTCACGGGAGATGGAATCTAAGGGAGATGAGAGGGACTGAGGGAAGGCATGGGTGACTGCCAGCAAACCTGTCAGGCAGGACGCTTCAGACTCAGAGAAGATTCCCAACTGCAAGCAGGAAGGAGACAGAACAATCCACCGAGAAGATCATCTCACCTGAGGAAGAGCCATCCCTGACTCCTTTGCTTCTCTCTTCCCCTTCCGGGTTTCTTCCTCACGTATCAAGAGTCTTTAAAAGTCAATCCTGAAAGTCAAAAATATGTTGTTTATTGCTCAGAATCAACACACCCCCTCCCTGGAACACAACGACACATACAAAGGAGACCTCACCCTGAGGAAATACTGTTCCCTCTACTGCCCACTGCACCAGCTACGATAAACTCCTACAAGAAAACTAAGTGATTTTTGATCCTTTTTTTTTTTGAGACGGAGTTTCGCTCTTGTTACCCAGGCTGGAGTGCAATGGCACGATCTCGGCTCACCGCAACCTCCGCCTCCTGGGTTCAGGCAATTCTCCTGCCTCAGCCTCCTGAGTAGCTGGGATTATAGGCACGTGCCACGATGCCCAGCTAATTTTTTGTATTTTTAGTAGAGACGGGGTTTCACCATGTTGACCAGGTTGGTCTCGATCTCTCGACCTTGTGATCCACCCGCCTCGGCCTCCCAAAGTGCTGGGATTACAGGCTTGAGCCGCCGCGCCCGGCCTTTGATCCCTTTTTTCAGAACCCGCATCCCTCCTGGAGAAGCCTACACACACATTGCATCAGTGGGGAGCTGGGATGGAATTTGAGCTCCCCTTCAGGGCACAGACCCAGCCCTCACCAAAGCCCAGGCAGAGGCTGGGTATGGTGGCTCAGAACTCTAACACTAACACTCTGAAAGGCCAAGGTAGGTGAATCAGTTGAGCATCGAGTTGGAGACCAGCCTGGGCAACATGGTGAAACCCCATCTCTACGAAAAATGCAAACACTTAGCCAGGCGTGGTGGTACACATCTCTGTGTCTGTGCTCCCAGCTAATTAGGAGGCTGAGGAGGGAGGTTCACTTGAGGCCAGGGAGTGGAAGGTTGCAATGAGCCAAGATTGTACCCCTACAATCCAGCCTGGGTGACAAGAGTGAGATTCAATCTTTAAAAAAAAAAAAAGTCAGGCCGGGCGCAGTGGCTCAATCCTATAATCCCAGCACTTTGGGAGGCCAAGGCGGGTGGAGCACAAGGTCAAGAGATCGAGACCATCCTGGTCAACATGGTGAAACCCCATCTCTACTAAAAATACAAAAAATTAGCTGGGCATGGTGGTGCGTGCCTGTAATCCCAGCTACTCAGGAGGCTGAGGCAGGAGAATTGCCTGAACCCGGGAGGCGGACGTTGTGGTGAGCCGAGATCGCGCCATTGCACTCCAGCCTGGGTAACAAGAGCGAAACTCCGTCTCAAAAAAAAAAAAGTCCAGGCACGGTGGCTCAGCCCTGTAAACCCAGAACTTTGGGAAGCCAGGGTAGGCAGATCACAAGGTGAGGAGACCACCCCAGCCAAGAGACCAGCCTGGCCAATATGCTAAAACCCCATCTCTACTAAAAATACAAAACTTCACCGTGTGTGGTGGTGGGTGCCCACCTACTCTGGAGCCTGAGGCAGGAGAATTCCTTAAGCCAGGGGGAAGGAGGTTGCAGTGAGCCAAGATCCCACAACTGCACTCCAGCAAGAAACAAAAAACAAACAAAAAAACCCTTGCTGCTCAATGATGGACACAGTAAACCTTAAATATTATTATTATTATTATTATTATTATTATTTTTTTTTTTTTTTTTGAGACGGAGTTTCACTCTTGTTACCCAGGCTGGAGTGCAATGGCGTGATCTCGGCTCACCGCAACCTCCGCCTCCTGGGCTCAGGCAATTCTCCTGCCTCAGCCTCCTAAGTAGCTGGGATTACAGGCACGCGCCACCACACCCAGCTGGTTTTTTGTATTTTTTTTTAGTAGAGACAGGGTTTCACCATGTTGACCAGGATGGTCTTGATCTCTTGACCTCGTGATCCACCCGCCTCGGCCTCCCAAAGTGCTGGGATTACAGGCTTGAGCCACCGCGCCCGGCCTACCTTAAATATTATTAAAACTCAGCAAGCGCCAGGCGCAGTGGCTTGATCAAGCCTGTAATCCCAGCACTTTGGGAGGCCGAGGCGGGTGGATCATGAGGTCAAGAGATCGAGACCATCCTGGTCAACATGGTGAAACCCCGTCTCTACTAAAAAAATACAAGAAATTAGCTGGGCATGGTGGCGCGTGCCTGTAATCCCAGCTACTGAGGAGGCTGAGGCAGGAGAATTGCCTGAACCCGGGAGGCGGAGGTTGCGGTGAGCCGAGATCGCGCCATTGCACTCCAGCCTGGGTAACAAGAGCGAAACTCCATCTCAAAAAAACAAACAAACAAACAAACAAAAACTCAGCAAGCTTTCCAACTCGGACCTGGCAGAATGGTTCCCTCAAAGAGGGAAAATGAGCCATTCTGCCACCAACCAGGCGGGGACCCGAGAGTACACCATCAACATTCACAAGCGCATCTATGCGGTGGGCTTCAAAAGCATGTCCCTCGGGCACTCAACGGCATTCATAAATTTCCCATGAAGGAGATGGGAAGTCCAGGTGTGTGCACTGATACCAAGCTCAACAAAGCTGTCCCAGCCAAAGGAATAAGGAATGTCCCCCACCATGCCCACGTGTGGTGGCCCAGAAAATGTAATGAGGATGAAGAGTCACCAAATAAGCTCTATGCCAGGCGTCCCCAAACTACGGCCCACGAGCCACATGCGGCCCCCTGAGGCCATTTATCCGGTCCCCCCGCCGCACTTCAGGAAGGGGCACCTCTTTCACTGGTGGTCAGTGAGAGGAGCACAGTATGTGGCGGCCCTCCAACAGTCTGAGGGACAGTGAACTGGCCCCCTGTGTAAAAAGTTTGGGGATGCCTGCTCTATACTGTGGTTACCTGTGTACCTGTTACCACTTTCAAAAACCTACAGACCGGCACTGTGGATGAGAACCAATCACTGATTGTTAAAAACATCAAATAAAGTTAAGGCCGGGCGTGGTGGTTCACGCCTGTAATCCCAGCACTGGCAGGCAGATCACCTGAGGTCGGGAATTCCAGACCAGCCTGACCAACATAGAGAAAGCCCATGTTTACTAAAAATACAAAATTAGCTGGGCGTGGTCGTGCATGCCTGTAATTCCAGCTATTTGGGAGGCTGAGGCAGAAGAATCACTTGAATCCCGGAGTTGGAGGTTGCAGTGAGCCGGGATCGCACTGTTGCACTCCTGACTGGGCAACAAGAGTACAATTTAGTCTCAAAAACAACCCACAAAAAACAAGAAACAAAAATAATAAAATTGTCATAAAGAAACAGAAAAGAAAGAAACAACTCAGGCCTACCCTGAGTATGTGAAGGAGAATCTCTGGAGCATAATAGATAAACGCGTCAATTCCCCAGCACTCTAATGTGAAGCCACGGTCGAGATCCACTCGGAGGAGGAGGCAAGCCCAGCAAAGCTGCGCGTCTAGCTCTGCTGTCCCCCTGGGGCCTTGGATCACCAGTACCGAGGCAGTGGAAGGTGAAGAATACAAAAAGAAGCTGGGCGCGGTGGCTCAAGCCTGTAATCCCAGCACTTCGGGAGGCCGAGGCGGGAGGATCACGAGGTCAAGAGATCGAGACCATCCTGGTCAACATGGTGAAACTCCCTCTCTACTAAAGGTGCAAAAAATTAGCTGGGCGTGGTGGCGCGTGCCTGTAATCCCAGCTGAGGCAGGAGAATTGCCTGAACCCAGGAGGCGGAGGTTGCGGTGAGCCGAGATTGCGCCATTGTACACCAGCCTGGGTAACAAGAGCGAAACTCCGTCTCAAAAAAAAGCATGCAAAACAGCCAGTGTGGACCAGAGGTGGGGGTGAGGGTGTGGCTGGAGTGCTCCTCGGGAGGTGGGTCACAGAAGTCCCCACTGAGAAGGCGATATCAGAACAGACACCCGGGAAGGAGGCGTGTCTCCACCTGCAGCTGAGGGGCCGGTGAGTTCCAGCAGAGACACAGCCCACGTGACGGCCTTGAGGCAGGAGAACCCTGGGCCCCAGGAACAGGAAAGAGGCCTGTGTGGCTGGAGCAGAGGGGGTGAGGACACAGGTAGGAGATGAGGTCACAGAGGTCCCCGGGGACCCAGATCAGGCAGGGCCCAAGTCTTCGAACATTTTTCTCCCACAACAACAAAGAATCTTCCAACAGATCTCCAGAATGAACCAGACGGCCTGGAGGGAAACATGAACTTAATAGCTCACAGCTTGAGATTTTAACGAATGACATAAGGAAAGAAAACTGAAAAATAGACTAAGTGGTTAAACTACATTTTGATGTTAAGGTAAAAGGTCATTAACATCTTTACCAAGTACACACTGAAACAATCAAACTTAGGTATTAGGTACCAAAGATTTCCAATAAATAATAAAGACTAGAAAGCATAGAGACCTTGATCTAAACCAGACACAAATAACTTCAAACAGAAATTATTATTATTTTTTTGGAGATAGAGTCTGGCTCTGTAGTCTAGGCTGGAGTGTAGTGGCTTGATCTTGGCTCACTGCTACCTCTGCCTCCTGAATCCCGGTTCAAGCAATTCTCCTGCCTCAGCCTCCTGAGTAGCCGGGATTACAGGCACACATCACCATGCTGAGCTAATTCTATATTTTCAGTAGAGAGGGAGTTTCACCATGTTGGCAAGGCTGGTCTTGAACTCCTGACCTCGTGATCCACACTCCTTGGCCTCCCAAAGTGTTGGGATTACAGATATAAGCCACATAACCTCTAGAAACTATTTTAAAATTGTTTTTACCTTTTTTTTTGAAATGCAGTTTCACCACGTTGGTCAGACTGGTCTCAAACTCTTGATATCAGGTAATCCACCCCCATCGGTCTCCCAAAATGCTGGGATTACAGGTGTGAGCCACCATGCCTGGCCTAAATTGTTTTTTAAAATATCTAAGGGCAGGCACAGTGGCTCATGCCTGTAATCGCAGCACTTTGGGAGGCCAAGGTGGGCAGATCGCGAGTTCAAGAGTTTGAGACCAGCCTTGCCAACATGGTGAAACCTAAAAATATAAAAATTAGCCAGGCATGGTGGTGTGTGCCTATAATCCCAGCTCCTCAGATGACTGAGACAGAATAGCTTGAACCCGGGAGGGGGAGGTTGCAGTAAGGGGAGGTTGTGCCACTGCACTCCAGCCTGGGTGACCAAGCGAGACTCTTATTTCAAAAAACAAACTAACTAACTAACTAGTTAACTAACTAACTCTGAGGTCAACAGGAAAATAGCTGGAACATAAACATGTACAGAAGGGAACGATGTGATTTGGTTACAGGACGCCACAAAGGCGTCTTTCAGAAGTGATGATGCAGTAAACAAGAAATTTTTAAAACTAAAATTTATCTCAAATTCAAACTGCAAAAAATAATAATGGTAAAGTAAAAGAAATGAAGAGGCAACAGAAAGAAAAAAATACGTATTGCACAATGAGAACAAAAGCACTTTTGATGTACCGGTTTTTTTCCTTTTTTGAGATAAAGTCTGGCTCTGTCGCCCAGGCTGTAGCACAGTGGCACAGTCTCGGCTCACTGCAGCCTTAGCCTCCCAGGTTCCAGTGATTCTTCTGCCTCAGCCTCCCAGGTAGCTGGGATTAAAGGCGCATGCCACCACCCACAGATAATTTTTGTATTTTTAGAAGAGACAGCATTTTACCATGTTGGCCACACTGGTCTCGAGCTCCTGACCTCAGGTGATCTGCCCACCTCAGCCTCACAAAGGCCTAGGGTTACAGGCTTGAGCCACCACACCCTGACTCTTTTTTTGTTTTGTTTTGTTTTTTTTCATTGTTTCTTTTTATGAGATGAAAATTTGCTCTGCTGAACAGGCTGCCGTGCAGTGGCACGATTTCGGCTCATGGCAACCTCTACCTTTCAAATTCAAGTGATTCTTGTGCCTCAGCATCTCGAGTACCTAGAACTACAAGTGCATGCCACCAGGCCCTGTAGCCATGAGGATATCATCAGCTCTGATGTCCCTTTTAAAAAGTACTATGAGCCAGGCATGGTGGCTCATGGTTGTAATCCCAGCACTTTGGGAGGCCAAGGTGGGCAGATGACCTGAGGTCAGGAGTTGGAGACCAGCCTGACCAACATGGAAAAACTCTATCGCTATACTAAATATACAAAATGAGCCTGGTGTGGTGGCCTATGCCTGTAATCCCAGCTACTTGGAAGGCTGAGGCAACAGAATCGCTTGAACCCAGGTAGTGGAGGTAGCAGTGAATGGAGATCGTGCCACTGCAGTCCACCCTGGGCAACAGGAGCAAATCTCCGCCTCAAAAAAACCCGACTACGTAGGCCAGGTGCGGTGGCTCATCCCTGTAATCCCAACTGCAATCCCAGTACTTTGAGAGGCCAAGACAGGAGGATCCTTTGAGCTCAAGATATTGAGACCAGCCTGGGAAACAGTAGTACCCCAATAAAAAAAATTAAAAAACAAAACAAAACAAAACAAAACACAAAAAGTGGTGGCTCATGCCTGTGGTTTCACCTACTTGGAAGGCTGAGTCAGGAGGATCACTTGAGCCTACCAGGTTGAGGCTACAGTTAGAGGAGATCACCCCACTGGACTCCAGCCTGAGCCACAGAACCACACCCTGCCTCGATATAGCAATTAATTAAATTATAAGTATTATATAATCACAGAAAGTAATTTTTATTTTCTTTTGTTTTGTTTTTTTTGTTTTTTTTTTTTTTTTGAGACGGAGTTTCGCTCTTGTTACCCAGGCTGGAGTGCAATGGATGGCACGATCTCGGCTCACCGCAACCTCCGCCTCCTGGGTTCAAGCAATTCTCCTGCCTCAGCCTCCTGAGTAGCTGGGATTACAGGCACGTGCCACCATGCCCAGCTAATTTTTTGCATTTTTCGTAGAGACGGGGTTTCACCATATTGACCAGGATGGTCTCGATCCCTCGACCTCGTGATCCACCCGCCTCGGCCTCCCAAAGTGCTGGGATTACAGGCTTGAGCCACCGCGCCCGGCCTGTTTTGTTTTTTGAGACAAAGTTTCACTCTTGTTGCCCAGCCTGGAGGGCAATGGTGTGCAATGGCTCACCAAAACCTCCACTTCCAAGGTTTAACGGATTCTCCTGCCTCAGCCTCCCAAGTAGCTGGAATTACAGGCGTGTGCTACCATGCCTGGGAAATTTTGTATTTCTAGTGGAAACGGGTTTTCTCCATGTTTGTCAGGCTGGTTTTGAACTCTGAACCTCAGGTAATCCACCCGCCTTAGCATCCCAAAGGCCTGGTATTACAAGCATGAGACAGGGTGCCTAGCCCAGAAAGTGATTTTTTTTTCCCACTTCATTGAGAAGAGAGTAACTCACAACTGAGTAAGTCACTGTCCTCTGGCTAAATACGGATTCCAACTGGAAGCTAACTAACCTGTAATGCCAAGGTTTACAGAATGAAGATGTCTTACTGTGGATAACCCCCGACATACGCACCGAGGAATGAGAGCTAAGCAGAACCCTGGCACAGTTAGAGCTTGAAGAATCTCACTTTATAGTGTTACTACTCAGCTATTTCCTTTTATATAATCCTTTACATAATCATATATTAGTTTATAGAAATAGGGCTTGAAGACTCCCTTTATATAATCCTCTATATATGATCATATAATAGTTGATAGTGTGAGTGCCTAAAGAATATTTCCCGCCGGGTGCGGTGGCTCACGCCTGTAATCTCAGCGCTTTGGGAGGCCAAGGCGGGTGCATCACGAGGTCAAGAGATTGAGACCATCCTGGTCAACATGGTGAAACCCTGTCTCTACTAAAAATACAAAAAATTAGCCAGGCAAAATTAGCTGGGCATGGTGGCTCGTGCCTGTAATCCCAGCTACTCAGGAGGCTGAGGCAGGAGAATTGCCTGAACCCAGGAGGCGGAGGTTGCAGTGAGCCGACATCTCGCCATCGCACTCCAGCCTGGGTAACAAGAGCGAAACTCCATCTCAAAAAAAAAAAAAGAATATTATATTTCCCTACATATATACCTATAATTATATCTTAGTTCATAGTCGGAGGAATGCCTAGAGTGGACACAGTGCAGAGCATGAA